ATACATATTTACATAGTAACACTGTGGTTTTAATTGGCTATAGTTGCCATTGTCTATGGTTACATAGTATATCGGTAACTAATAGAAAACATGTAGACACGTGTGTTAATCTGTTGTGTAGAGGTACAATTTAGAAACAATGAGTGGAAGATAAGGATAGATTTAAGAAAATTAATGAAGTTAATGACCAATTTTTACTTATTGAGTATTAAGTCGAGGAACGTATTGTTTTTAAAATAAAATGGTTTTCCGTTAATTTCATTTTCGTAATATCATCGGCTTTCATTTTATAAAAAGAGAAATTTTGGAATTTTACTTTTAGATGTTGTGCACATCTAATGATATGTCTATTTAGAAATAAGGGTCCATTTTCAATATTACTATCCCGTCGATGGTTGCGTACTCTAACCCGTAGGTTTGTGCCCGTTTCCCCGATGTAGAAATTATGACAACCATTGAATGTCACGACATATATGTGTCACAATTGATATTGTCGTTGACACTAAAAGTAAAGTCATGAAAATTATATTTGTTATTTGGCGTAATATGCCGTGGAGTCGGGCATTTAGATACATAAAAACCGGTTCTTGTGATAGATGAATTGAATTTTGCTTTAGTTAGGAGGCGTTTCAGATTAGGTGGCTGTCTTTGTGATGTAATGAATTGAACATTATAAAATTTCTTTCGGAGGTTGTCATATATATTGTGTATTCAGTAAAATGAATTATCATGCCGCACGACAGTAACCCACCACTGTTTATGTGTCGGTCGTTTGGAATACTATCATGGGAAAGTTCACAAAGGTATGGTTACGTGTTTATTTAAATAAAAATATCGTTTATATCTCTTGGTATCCAAGAAGTTAAATTGCCACGTAATTTCTGCAAAACGACTATTTGATTTCATTTGAATGTATTCTATTCGGGTCTAAACGTAAACTAAGTCAGATTAAACAGTTTACAATAAGCTGCAATAACCTTACCGTAAAAGCAACGGATAGCCTAAAATATTTGGGTCTCATTTCACATCTCAATCATACAATGCAGCACATAGTTCTTATATTTATTGATGTATTTATTGGTGTCACTTTCCCAATCATACAATGTACCACATAGTTCTTATTCATATACGTAGCTATATTTATTGTTGTCATGTTGTAACCTTTACTTGAAGAATAAATAAAATATTTTTTTTTGAAAGTTCAGTTTTGGTGTTACGACAGTTTGGCACAATTTGTGACACCGAGAGAGTTGAAAGAGAATGGTAAACTGACGGACATAATGGCGTCAATCACACGTCAAATTTTATACGCCCACCTTTTCATGTGGACGTATATTGTCGTCGCCCCTGTCCGTCCACAATTGTTTGTGAACAGTCTACAGGTCACAATTTTTATCCGATTTCAATGAAACTTGAAATATAGGTTTATCACCTAAGGTGTCGGTTCCTCTCGTTAGTGGCATGTATCGGACCGTAACTTCATGGATTATGGCCCCTGATTGTACGAACAATCACGTTTTTAGCTTGTGAACACTGTAGAGGTCACAATGTTTATCCGATTTGGTTTAAACTTGAAATGTATGCTTATAACCCAAAGATCTCGGTTCCTTTCGATATTCGTGCATATCGGAACGTAACTTCCTGAATTATGGCCCCTGATTGTACGAAAAATCGCGTTTTTAGCTTGTGGGCCCTTTAGATGTCATAATGTTTATCCGATTTAAAAAAAACGTATTTTTATATCACCGTTAAACCCTAAGGAAGACTGAGTTCGAATTTCCTTTCGATATTCGCGCATATCGGACTGTAACTTCCTGAATTATGGCCCCTGATTGTACGAAAAATCACGTTTTTAGCTTGAAGACCCTATAGAGGTCATAATTTTTATCCGATTTAAAAAAACGTATTATTATATAACCGTTACACCCTAAGGATTGCTGAGTTCGAATTTCGTGAAAATCGGCCCAAAACTGACAGACAAAATGGCCGCCCCTCATTCTCAAATTGCGTAAAAATATGGTATATCAAGGTTGTGGACCCTATAGAGGTCACAATTTTTATCCGATTTTGTTAAAACTTGAAATGTAAGTTTATAACCCAAAGATCTTGGTTCCTTTCGATATTTGCGCATATCGAATTGTAATTTCCTGAATTATGGCCCTTGATTGTAGTAAAAATCACTTTCGTTTTAGCTTGTTTTCTATCTATCTCTCGAAAATGTGGGCGTATCCTGCCTGGCAGCCGCTGGTTATTCATCTAAGTGATAATGACTTTCCAGATCCATAATCATAAGGGATGATTTTTTTAATTTAAAATAATGACAGACCATTACGTATATCTGGAATATTCATCTATAATATAAAGTTATAATACTTTTATAGATCTATGATCATAATGGACAACATTTTTATTTAATATAATAATAGATGATTAAGTATATATAGAATAAAGATCTTGCACATTTAAGTTGCTGATTACTTTATGTAATATAATATATATTTTATCTGTGTGTGTATTATCTAAGGCAGTATAACATGAAGTAATATGCACCCTTTGTTATATCGGTACTCGATACCGTCTATATATTTTATACTGTTAATTTATTTCTATTGCATGAGGTCTGTGCATTGTTTTCTAGCAAAATAATAACCCATTTGTAACTTCTGAATGAAAGGATCCTTTATCGATTTTGTAGCAGCTCGATTCAGTATGATACATGTAAATATTAAAAAACATGCCAGCAATTTTAAGGTGTTCCTTTACTTTGTTACTGATATGGATATTGGTTTTAAAGACAAAGAGAGCAACCCAAGGCATATTCTTCAGTGGGATGCCTTAAGATGTTCACACGAAGATCTTGCGATCAACAAAAGGTTTCACAATACACGATCAATATTGGGTTCGAACTAAAACAGTATCTGGGGGCTGTGAATATTATTCTTTAAACTTTCCACTTATAAATCCAAATATCTTGCTCAGATCATTATAAAAGACAATAAGCTTAAGACAGCTTGCTATAGCACTAACGACAGTCAATAGTGTATTGACCGTTCTCTTGTTTTCAGTTGGAGCTTATATTGGGTTCTGTTGATATAACAAATTATACTAAAATGAAGTTCGTTTACATTATATGCGAGATAATCTCACGTCGATAATATGTGGGCTCTAAAACTAGAAATACATTAGCGGGGGGAGACGAGTGGTTGATCATTTTTAGGGGGTGGGAGGAGGTAAGGGGTTGATCTGGTCTTCTTCAGTAGATTATGTCTCTAAGTACATCTTGTAGTATGCTAACCATAATATAAAAAAAATATCTGAAGGAAACCCACATTTACGTCGCCCATTATTGAAACATGCATTAATCCCTCGAGGAAAGTGCAGAGAGAAAGTTCGGTGTTATCTTTTGTTGTATGGATAACTATATCTGCCAAAATATGCAATAGTCTGGATTGACCTCTGTGTATTAATAGTTATGATCACTTGGGGTTCAAAAGATTAGATAACAAACCAGCATTTGGCATCCATTGTAGACAACACATGATTTAACTTATAGTACTTTTAAGATGGCTCTCTGGATCCACAGCCTGTCTAGCTTTTGTATTCTCCACGATATTTGATTTATTTGTTATATGTATGTTTTCGTAGCGTATATAATACTAAGACGCTTATAGCGCACTGGCCTCTAAAGGGTGGTTTCAAAAACCTATTAAAGATGACTTTTAAAAAATTGAGTGCCATCATATCACACGGAAGTTTCCTTATAATAGTTCTTATTTAATACGTTACTGTCACTTTATTTTGTTAAAGCCCCTTTCTTTTGACGTGGTATTTTAATTCAAAGACAGATTTCATCTTCAAGGATTTCAATCTTACATGACGGCAGGTGGCGATGTTATTGAAGTACCTTCGATAATATATTGCGACAATAGCGCGAGACTTGTCACATATTTCAAAAGTTTCGATATTGCCTTTTTAATGAATTACTTCAACACATGCAGTTGTCAGTAGACAAGATGCTAGACGAGGCAATAAACTTCAACTAGGCTTACCATCCTAATGCCAGAGATATTGAAACGTTTTATAAAATTACTTTTATTACTCCTGGATTGGATTCTTCCTTTTCCAGTAACGAGTCAAATTTAATTATTTCATCTGAATTACTTTGCTCACGCTAAGAGTAATATGTTTGCACTTTTTACTAAAGCCACGTATTTTACTATAGTTGAAAGGTGGTTTTACAGCCAATTCGCTAGACTAGAACTTGCAGATTTTTCATATACGTGTGACCGAGAAGGCGACTTTTAACATCGAGAGAAAACATTAACAGAACTAATAATTTTACTTAATATTCACAAAAAATATTTTTATGGTGTGTTTTAAATATGCTTGCTGAGCTTTATTAAAGATGCATTATAGTTCAAAAATACATAATCGTAGAAGCGTTACTTGTTAATCCATTTGTAAATCAAATCATTAAATGTCGATGGTATTTCAGTCTGTTTACATCTCCGCCATCCGATGAACTAGAAGAGAGTTGATTATAGGCTTGTCATGTGAACACGTATCTAAATAATAATAATATATAATATCTACCTGCAATAGGCAGATTTAGCACTAACATAATGCTAATAATATTAAATTTTAAATTCAGGTCAACTGTACAAAAGACCTAATAATATGGTTTAATTGATGACATGACAGTTTGGAGAACGGTCTCTCTATAAATTGATATGATTAAATAGAAAAGATTAACTTTTTATGAGAATTTACATTATTATGTATTGATTTCAAGTCGCCATTTTCATAGACTGCAATGGTGTAAAAGTGTCTGATTTGCACCTGCGGGAATCGATATCAAGAGCTGCTGATAACCTGTATTATTTTAATTTGTTAACCTACCTTACAGTTTTTATATGTCTTGGCTGATCTGTCAAGTCCCCTTTTTCCCTTTTAGTAGATTAATAATATGTAAGATAAAAGGTATATATCCATTTTTTCAGATCGATGATGTTGGGTTTTACAGTGTGAAAGGTGAGTATATTTTTGTTATCTTTATAATTAAACTTTTATAATATATTATTTATAACTTATTCAGTGAACTATACTCCGAGACTGTTATAACACCTTGCAAGATCGCTACATTTAATCCCACTTTTGTCAAAACCAAGGGATTTTGTTCATCACCATGTCGTTTGGAAACGGTTTTGTTAGAAACTACAATGGTACCATGGAACATATCCATAACAGAACGGGAGGTGGTATATACATTGAGAAAAATATCTCGTCTGAGAACTCTTATAAATCAGTAAATATATACTGCGACATAAGAACCAATATTTTTCCTGATTTTTATTATCTCTCTTATATATGAACAATAGACTTTACACAGGCACAATACTTAGCATCGGCTTACTGTTATATTTGAAAGACACTATCAATTTCACTAACAACTGTACCTGCAAGTGCTAGTTAGCAAAGAAAGGAAAAGGATGTCGATTAGTTGTGTAATAATATATTACAATTAAACTCGAAGGTGAGATTGTACACATTTGCAATAGTTATTTGTAATTAATGCTATTTATAATTCATATTTGTTTTAACGTATAGGTTAGTGCAGACGACAAGACAAAAACTACACATAAAACATACGAACATTGATTGCTAGTAGTTATGCACTCTATACAGAAATAAAATAGGATTTAACGTTCCAATTGTCTGTATGAAGACGGGCATACGCCTTACAGAGTGTTATGATGGACATTTTGCTCGGACAGTGGCACTACGGCCTACTATTTTACGTGCACGCCAATATGACCTCGGTTTTCCGTCCCATCCGAAGCACTAGACATTGTTACTTTTCAGGCCGTCACACCGGTAAATCCCGAAGAAGCTACTCGGCCAACACTTAGTGCCAATCCGAGACTCCATATCACTTTGGTGTGGTAACTGCTACTCATAAACATTTTGCCAGTTCTTTCTGCTTTTGGAAACGAAACAAGTCTAATTATTTCTGATTAACAAATGTGGCCTTTTTGCCAGTTTTAAGTACCACTATATGTAGTCTTCTACCACTAATAACATAACATATATACCTACCAAAATCCATGAGCATTATCTGTCGAAACATATTGTGCCTTTGGGCTTGATAGTTTAATATTTATAGCAAAATTGGCTAGAAGAGAGGCAGACTTGACATTATATATGTCATAACCGTTTAATACAAATCAATCTCCTTTAATTACTGGAATTGGTCTGACACATTTAATGCCAAGAACGTCTAGTGCTGTAACGGATCTTCGCAATTTTGTAATATGAAACCTGCTTTAGGTCTACTGAGTATTGGTTTATCAGACCTTATTGGATTTGGGCGTTTAGAGACTATGCTACGTTGTTTTCAGTGGATTAAATACTTTGAAACTGGCACGTCGGCGCCATTACTGTTCACTTGGTGATTTGTAATTGTATCACCACAAACAAAAATGTATAATATGTAAATAAAAAAAGTGAACATCAAGGTTTTTGTGTACCGACTGAGCTAATGGAGACGAACATGTGCCATACAATTTTCACTGCCATCGGCGCAACGGACTACTCTTATTTTGATTTCCAACTATTAAGGGTTCTCTTACGTTCATGCCAATGTGTACACGGGGCCCCGTTTTTTTTATCCCATCCGAACGACTGAACGCTGTCCGCGCCACTGGCAAGCAGATATATGAAAATATTCTATATAATATTACGTTTCTCAATTAAATCAACATATCCTTGGTAATTTATATTACACTAAAATTTTGTTAATTTTCCTGCCTGTTGAATTTCCATTGGCTTTTATGCAGATCTATAATGTTCAATTTAGATATGATCGCGTGTGTACGTCCAATTCCGAGACTAGGATCTTTACAGAACTTGACCTTACTGTTTTTATTTGAAGATTTTACGCCTAAAGATAGATCAATAATCGGAAATTTAAGAAGTAAATACGTGATCATTTAACTTCGTGTCTAGTGTCAATGACATTAATGATAGCTCTATAAATTTCTAATATCGCGAACCTTAAGTTGGAATAAATATACCTGACCTTCGGAGCTTAAAATCAATAGTTGGGTACTTGTACCACACCATTAAATTTCCTTTCCGCTAATACATCAAGGCGACAAACATATATTTGCTTCCCAAAAAGGAACTAGAAAAAGCGAAACACGAGCATCATTTCCCCAAGAACTTCCAGACAAAATTAAGTCTGCATGAAGATAAAGAGTGGGACAGAGAGAAAGACTCGTCCTTTTCACGCAAACACGCACGACATATTGTTATATTAGACTTTACCAAATTAGTGTCGTATGTGTTGTCAATATAAATCCAGACAAGAAATGCTGTTTCAAGCTGTTTAGACACAAATGATATGTCTTTAAACATACAAAACCAGGCGAAAAGCTGTTCTACGTGCAGTTACTCTTTACAGCATACAAACCACGCTGAAAATCAATTTAGAAAAGCATAAATATGGTTACATAAATCAGATAAAGACATAAAAATGTCGTGATGTCGCGCAAAAATGTCGTCGGATTAAAATGTCGCGTTGTCGTGTGAAAATGTTGTATTGTCGCGTAAAAATGTATTGTCGGATTAAAATGTCGTAATTCGCGTAAAAATGTTGTATTGTCTGGATAAAATGTCGTGTTGTCGCCGTATGAGAGAGAGAGAGAGAGAGAGAGAGAGTCCACTCGACACAAACTAGGTCATTTCGGGACTAACATATGGTTTTAATTTTATTTCAATAATTCGCTTGCGCATAGGGTGTCGCTGTATGAAGGGCGACACCACGACATGATACCAATCAGCCACCATTGCTTTAAAAAATATAATCAGAGACATGAAAACATGTTGTACAAAAACCTATATTTTAAAGCACATAGGGAACCACAGTGGCTCAGTGAGTAAACCGTTGGCTAGCTAACCTTGAGATCCCAGGTATACGTCCCATAAATACGTAAAAGATCCCTTGGCAGTTGGAATTCGATATTAGAGTAGACCATAGTTTCGCTGGCCGGGAAAAAATTCCCTCACAACTCACTGTATGGCGTATGTCCGTCTTCATTAGCCCACTATTGTCGGGTTAAAATGTACAGTTGGACGTTAAACGCCATCTCATTTTCATTTAAAGTCTATAATTTAGAACACGAAAATCTTTTACAACACGTCTTTTTAAACTTAAAGCGAGAGAGGAATGGGGTTTAAGGTCCACTGGACACAAACTAGGTCATTTCGGGACTAACACATGGTTCAATTTTATTTCATTAATTCGCTTGCGCGTAGGGGTCTTTAGCAGTGAGAGGAAACCGAAGGATGCGGAGAAAACCCACGAGGTTGGACAGGCGACCATACTTCTTGTCACGTACACGCGTCTAATCGAAATCACGCCACCATTCGGCCACCAAAACCCTTTTTTGTAATAACAAGCCAACAGCGAGGCTGATGTCCCCCGCCGAAATCCCAAAATAAATAGATGACACATATTAATTAATCACACATTTATTTTTTTCAAAAGTATCTAGCAATCAAAATATACACTCTCTATTAGATAGAATCAAGATTATCTTGTCCCAAAACATCGACCAATGAAATTGATTAGCTCTGCTTAGCTTCAGCTCGAAATGTTAATCATTGAACTCAGTCAAGACATTCACCTAATGAACATCAAGTTTAAACATTCTACCTCAATTAAAAGCAGAGTTGTTATGTTCCAAAGTCTCGACCAATCAAATTGCTTATCGCTCCTTAGCCTAAACAGAAAATTCGCACCATCGAACTTAATCAAGGTAATGATTATAACGAAAGTTATCGTGCACAAAGCATCAACCAATCAGATTGCTTATCTCTGCTTACCGTAAGCAGACAATGTTCATCATCGAACTCCATCAAGGCATTCACCTAATGAACGCCTACACCAAGTTTGAACATTCTACCTCAATTAGAACGAGATTTATAGTGTTCCAAAGTCTCAGTCAATCAAATTACTTATAGCTCTGCAGAAAATGTTCATTATCGAAGTTAGTCAAGGTATTGATGTAATAAAGCTATACACCAAGTGTCCTCACTCTCACTTAATTAGAACTAAAGTTATCGTGTCCCAAAGCATCAACCAATCAAACTGCTTACCCTTAGTAGAAATGCTTATCTTCGAACTCCATCAAGGCATTGACCTAATAAACACCTACACCAAGTTAGAACATTCTAGCTCAATTAGAAGGGGAGTTATTGTGTTCCAAAGTCTCGACCAATCAAATTGCTTATCGCTCTGCTTACCCCGATCAGAAAATGATCATTATCGAACTTAGTAAAGGTATTGATGTAATGAAACTATACACCAAGCTACACTCTCACTTAATTAGAACTAAATTTATCGTGTCCCAAAGCATTAACCAATCAAATTGCTTATCTCTGCTTACCCCAAGCAGAAAATGCTCATCTTCGAACTCAGTCAAGGCATTGGCCTAATAAACACCTACACCAAGTTTGAACATTCTAGCTCAATTAGAAGCAGAGTTATTGTGTCCCAAAAAGTGAAACGGACAGACGGACGAACCCATTTTAATAGTCCCCTGCTTTCTTCGAAAGGCGGGGGACAAAAATGGAATGATTTAGTTTGCGTCGAGTTGACGTCAAGCCCCATTTTTCTAGACATGTTTACACGTTGTTTCACAGGGATGGTTTTAATCATACACAAACTTTAAACACAGATTCATACGACTTCAGATCCAACAAACCTCGACTTTTATATTCCTTCTCACCGGCGTATAACGTTATTCTTAAAATTTATGTCAGAAATTTAGACTTTTAATTTTGGTCGATTTACAATTTTATACTTTACTGACATTTCTGTTCTGTCAGGCAGGTTTGATACATGAACGATGCTTGTATAAAGCAGGTCAATAATTCAGTTCAATTTGGTGTTAAACGCCACGGACATCTTGGTGCTATACACACAGGTTTTTCCAGTTCGATACTAAAGGAACTGATTAAGTAGTGTA